ATTTGCTGGTTAAGGGTAGGGACTAAGAAATGTGTCCTGATTCAATATGTGAGGAAAGAGATTGGCCAACTTCTGTGAGTTTTGTCTACAATGTTTTTAATACAAAATAATTTTCAATAAGTTATTTTTGAAAAAATTTTTGTAAGGTTTTAAGAAAAGGATTTAGGGAAGATAGGTATGAAGAGATCATGTATAGCTGTATTGCAAGGACTTGTTGACTGAAGGTTTATTGTGGGATTTTAGATGTGGAAAGTTATAGGTGGGAGGAGCTTTATTTCTCGAGGGTGGAGTTATGAAAAAGCTTTCAAAAAGCCTAAGCTTTCAGCAGCCTTCTGGAAGCCCTCATTCTAATCAATTCTGTTTTCTGTGGGTGTGTTTGAAAGTGCTTTTGCCTGAGAAGTGCAGTTTCCCTTAATGGGCCATTGAATCCGAATGCTTAGGCATTGTGCTGGCTTTTAAAAAGAGATAAGAGTAAACTTCATTAAGAAGTCTCATTTTAGTGATGTATAGAATTACATTTTGAAAGCATATTAAAGTTATGATTGGGAATACTGGCATGTTCAATATATTTTCTTTTATACATTGATTATGAAAAGATTCTGTCCATCTATTTGGAAATGTAGATGACAAAGCAGTATAGTAGTATCTATTTCAACCCATTACCAGCATTCCATTGTTTTGGTCTTGCACAGCGCTGTTTTTAGGCATTAGCAATGAGTCCTCCTTGGTTCTTGGTGTGCCTGAGTCTAGGGCAGTGGTCGGCAAACTGCGGCTCGCGAGCCACATGCGGCTCTTTGGCCCCTTGAGTGTGGCCACGAAGTTTCAATCGCACTGTACATGTGCGCCCGCACGTGGTATTTTGTGGAAGAGCTACACTCAAGGGGCCGCAGTTTGCCAACCACTGGTCTAGGGAATGAGTGTTTACTTTCCAGATCTATTTACTCCTGGCTAAGAGTTTACAGGGTCACGTTAAGGAAATATATACACTGGGCAGTAGTTATTTGTTGAACATGCTGGCATATTGTCACCTCAGGGCCTTTGCACTTGCTATTCCCTTTGCCTGAGGTATCAGGTCTCAGTTCACTTCAGGCTTTTATTTTGCTGTCACCTTCTCAAATGTACCTCATCTCAGCACACCCATTCTCCTCCAGTTATCATTATCTAATTATTTGGTTCATAATCTCCTTGCACTAAATACAAGTGTCATATGGGCTGGGATTTTTGTCTGTTTGGTTCACTACTATCTCCCTAGGACTTATTACTGTGTCTGACACAAACTGCTTTTTATTAGGTGAATGGCAATAATTCATTGAATTGATAAACTTGTCATATGTCATGTTTCCTTGGACACAATTTGTCTGTTTGTGAATAACCCAGACCCTAATATGAGCTGTATCAAGGGACATAGATATTAAGAGTGAACATCTGTGAGTCTGTGGAGGGCCCCCCAGACCTGCTGCGAGAGGTGCAGAGTGTCATTGTGGTCAGGAATCTCCTCTGAGTTCTGTTGACCAGTTTTACTGCATCTGCAGGTGGGGCCATCGCCACAGAGTAGACCCAGCATTGCAAGGACCCCCTGTTCCCTTCCCCGGACACTTGAAATCAGTCCCCAGACTTTTCTGCCTCGACCCCTGTGCTTGTTCTGTTCATACTGCCAAGGTCGTTTGTGGGGGGAAGCTTGAAAGTGGGTCGGTATTCTCTGGTTCTTGATCCCCAGGTTGAAGAGCCAAATCTTGCACATTCCTTGAACTTACCTATTGGGTGAGTCTACACAACTAATGTCATGGTCTATTCCTACAAGCAGGCAGGAGTCAGTCTGAGCCTGGTCACTGTTATCTCTACCTTGTCCCACCCTCTAATTATATATTATCAGTGGTTTTTGGTAGGACATCTGAGACTTTTTGAGGTCGAGCCTATCACTTTTAAGGCTTATTGGCAGGCACCAAAGGTACTTTCTAGTTGTGATGTCCCTTCTGTCTGGTCCAACATTCCCAGCTCACGTGAAATTTCTGGTCATATTTTGGGATTGTGGTGTAATCCCGGGAAGGGCTCCTTAGAATGGAAGTAGGTTACCTTGGTAAGTAACTCATTAACCCAGGGGTACTCATTGGCGTGGTCTCTCCATTGGAACTGTTAGTGGTGAAGCAGATAGACCCCTGATAGCATGGGCACCAGGATGGTAATTTTGATGTAGGAGGGTGGTGAGGGAAGAGAGAGTTGGAGCCTGGAAATTTGCTGCAGATGGCAGACATGAGCGAATGGCAGGAGAAGATGCCATAACTGTGAGGGAACTTGAGGTGTGGGAAGAAGGGAAGTCAGAGGAGAAAGGAGAAAGCATGAAAAGACAGGCATGTGGCACCAAAAAGAACACTCCTAGTTTTGCACCAGGATCTTCTATAGCCTGGCCTACAAGATGATATGTACTTTATTTCTCTTTCAATGAAGGACAAATAAATCATAATCTTAGAAGATTCCTGAGTATTGGTCCAAGATGCTCTGTGTTTTTAGTTCTATTTAGCTCATTTCTTTTTCTGAGTAGTAATTGGTTTGTACTTGGAAATGAATTGATACATAAGTCTTCTTATCTGCGCCCCCCCCCCGCATGTCTTCTTTTATGCAAGTAGAGTGTTGAACACAGAGCTGTGCCTACGAATTATCGAACCTAGATTAGAAAGCAGATAAGTCAGCTTCGACATAATCTTGGTAGAATAAATGTCTGAAGCTTTGCTGTATTCAGAATGCATATTTAACATCTTCTTCTTTCTTCCACCCCCATGCTCATTCATTTTGTAGACTCTGAAGTTGTTATGGCATTATAGAGTGGTTGGTGCAGGGCAGAGACAGGGCTCACTGAACTGGGTCACGAGTTCTGGGAACAATCTTGGCCACATCACAGACTCCATTGACCTATGCAAAGTGTTGTTAATCTGCCTTACAAGATCTGGGAGGAGAAATGAGGTAATGTCTACTCAGACCTTCGAGCTTCTCGGAAGAACAGCGTTCTACAGTAATATGATTTCCTAATGCATTTGTTTGTATTGTAATGGAGTGTAATTCCATTTACCTGAATTTCTTTGGATGTCTTTAGAATATCTGATAGTCTTGCACAGGGGAAGCAGCCCAGCTTTGGGAGTAAGAACTGGGCCTAGAACAGAATCCTCAAAGGGTACTCAGCCAAATGAGCCAGCTGTAAATCTGTGAGATTAAGGGAAGGAAGTTGGGAGAGGAAAATATGGGAGCTAGAGCTGATGGAGATGGGGGAGAGAGTTGTAATTATCTTCAGAGAGTTTATATCATACTTTTAAATCATGTTGTTTTACTAAAGATGAATACTTCAATATATTTTTAAATGTGATTATTGTAATTGAGCAATATTACATATTGCATGACTCATCTGTAATATTGATCCTGCTGTCATTCTCTATATTGGTAGACTCTGTGACTCAGCTTCCTTCAAGATTTACTTTATTATGTTCCTTGGGCTAACCTGATTGTTTAATAACTTGTTCCAACTCTGACACCAATAGTTCCATACCAATACTAACAGATTTATAGATTCATTTGTAAAATACCTGGTAAATTACTAAAGAACACTTTATCTTTGTTCTGTAGATAAGGGAATAAGTAAGTCTTTTTTATTGCAATAGTGCTGAGCAGGGTAATTTTTTATGCAATCTCTTTGAGCAGTATTACAATTGAGTTAGCTTTCTAGTCAGTCCTAAAACAGAAGTTAAAACAAAAGATGAAAGTGAGGGAAATATACATATGTGTCATCTCTGTCATTCTATAAAGATGTCAAGTTAGGTTATAATTATCATTATTGGACAGTTTTGTTGTGACACTTTCCAGAAGTGGTTAGTTCTTTGGCATTTCAAACCTAGCTATTCAAAAGGAGGTCAGCCCTCTATAAAGGAACATTAAGTAACTATGAAGTTAACTAGGAAAGATAAGCATATATCTTCTTTTCCAGAGAGGGGATTATATACATTTTTTAACAGCAACTGATTTGTATTTTTAGGGGAATGATACTAATCATATTCCTTTCTCTGGAGACGGGAAGGAAAAGTGCTACAACTTTTATTTGCTAAATTATAGAGTATAATGCAGAGAGAACATATCCTATCCTCCAACTGTGGCATAAAAAAAGTAAATTCCTACCAAAGTTTGTGTTGCATGCCAGGGATGTATGAAAAAAAAGGCACGTTGTCAAATTAAGAAGAACATTTTATATAAGAAAATGATATGAAATACTATGGAATTGTTCTTTAGACCAAAATACAGTAATCTTTTACTAAAAGATTATGACTCAGAGTTATAGTTCATATGAGCTAGATTGTGAATAATCAATAAAACCACATTTTTTGTTGGAGAAGGTAGGACATAACTACTGGTTGACCTGTGAGTCAGACCCAGGCAATTAGAGCCCTCTCATGCCCTCTCCTGCCCCACAATGTATGTTCTGCCCACCATTCCCACAGTGGGAACCTTTTACAAGGGTGCAGTCTTGAGATAGTAATGTTCTTGTTGAGACCCTACATGACTGAACCCATGTGGGAGCCTCTATATAAACGTCTAATATTCTGGCAGGAGGGTGCAGAGATCTACTTGTCTTGTGGCCACTCATGACAAGCTTTGTAAGTTCCCTCGCTCATTAAACTGCCACCTACAAGCTGGAATGGCCTGCCTCTTTCTTTGGTCTCTCTTTGCTCTCTGTGTATGAGGGCCAGTTTCAGATTTTATCTGGGGAAGCTCCCAAGGTTGTGAACCAACAATGGTCTGTTCCTGACAATTTACTAAAATTTGAACGAGCACTTCCGAATGTTAACCATGTTGTGCAATTTTATGTCTTGGTGTCAAACCTTCATGATAAATTTATGATTTTCTGCAATCATGTATGAGTGTAGCTAAGGCCATACTTTTAAAAAAAAGATGGGAAAATGTCCTGTTTATATTGATCTGTTGCATGTTAAATTGTGATGTTCTTTTTGAATTTGTTTCAGAATCGAAGCAAGCGCTTGGAGAAGGTCCATGTGGTTATTGGACATAAATCGTGTGACTTGGATTCTCTCATTTCTGCCTTCACATATGCCTACTTTCTAGACAAGGTGAGGGAAAAGAAAATTATGCTTTTTAATTTGAATTGTGATGTAAATTTTAAGAACACACATTTTCTGGGAATATAAGAAACCTATTAAAGTTTTCATGTTCTGGTTTATTGTTGCAGAGAATAATGCATTATGATCCATTAATCAATAACTATTTATTGATCACCTACTATATGTTAGGCATTGTTATGGTTATTTCTTACTGATTCTATTCATGCAACATTATTTCAATATGATCAATGTTTTCAAATTGAAAAGAAAAAATGTTTTATAATAGTTGGTTGGTTGTATAAAATTTCAGAGAACTAACAAAAGTAAGAGTCAGGATGTCTTGTTTTCCTTTATCATCCCTTTTGGATAGTCTTTCCCTTGGGAGTAGAAAATATGTGCAGAATAACCTGCATGAACACTACATGAAGTACAGAGCTCATTGGCTGAAATTTTCAGTAACAGAGATATTACATGTTACATCTATATTGTTGTTGCCTTTTAGCCCTGACTGTGTACAACAGGTCATTCTCAGTTAGTGATAATCTCCCCTGAGTGAAAATCTTTGTACTCTGTAAAGTCTATAATATGCCTCTAAAGGTGAAAAAGGCCTTTCCATAAGTTGTTTTAAATTTTCCATTCCATAAAATTCATTAGCCTACGGTAATGCATTATCTCAAAGCCGAAAAAGGTACATTATGAGTATTTTGGTGCTATTTCCAATTTCACACAATTTTTAATTTTATGGAGTACATTAGCTTTTTATTCCCATTTTATTTGGATCCTTGACTCTTAGGTTATGCATAGCCAATCTAAGTGATTTAATTCACATGAAACCCAGTCTTCCAGAATGAGCTGTAGTGGCAAGAACGGCTTTAGGGCATCAGCTGACCAAAATGCTGGGTCAGGTACCCTGATCTCTACATATGAGCTTTATAGCAAATTTATCTTCAAAAAATTTTTTTATCTTAAAATTTGTTGAACCTTACAAGGGAGATTAATTGGTATGAGGAGATAAGTGTGCCTGTGACAAGGCATGCATATTAAACACTGATCTTATTAACTGAATTTTTTGTTCCTAGAAAAAAATGCCTGTCTCAAGAACATAGAATTGACTGAACCAGACTGACTTTTAGACTGATAGTGGCATGGATTGTTAAGGAAGTCATATACTGGTTATACCATCAACAATAACTATAATGTCTTGAATGAGATAATGACATCCAACAAAAGGAGTGGGAAAAGTAGTTGTGATAGATAAAACAAATAGACGAATATAAAGAATTGTGTGGCCTGTCTAAGGTTTGCCACTGAGCATGGAGACAAATAAGGCATACACTGGGGATTCGTTATGTTTTTGTGCCTTGCTCTGAGTTTATTGGACCAAGCCCCCTACCAGAGGTCTGCATCTCCATCTTAATTTTTCCTGAGAACCTGGCTATTCCCTCTCAGAGTAGTAATGCATAGGCTAAGTAGAGCGATTTGCAGCTTCACATGTAAGAGTCTATTAACTACTTTCCACTCAGGTAGGTAAGCTCCATTATAGAGATGGGGAAAACTAAGGTTCAGAAAAGAAATTGGCTTTCTCAAAGCCACACAGCAGAGGCTGGGCCTACATCCTAGTTCTTCTGACTCTAAACTCAGAATAGGTCCTGCCAGGATAGGCTCAGGCTGCATGCTCTTGACTCACGTTTCAGTGTTAGTAGTTAGGTATGACTCTACCAGTTAATCAGGAAAAATAACTTGCCATAGATAAATTACTAATGATTATGATACAGTTGTGACTCAGTATTAGCCTGACAGGTTGGAGAAAAACTATTTTGTTGGAGTGGTTTTGTGCTTCACATTAGATAGAGTGGGTGATTCATTTTTTTCCACTCAACAAATACCTATTAAATGTCTATTCTGTGCCAGACCGCTGTTTGCACCAGGAAACATAACTGAACAAAATAGACAAAATGCTCTGTTGTCTTAGAGCTAAGAAAGAGAGATGGATGGTAAGGGTGTTAAACCTGTGTAGTAAGTAAAGACTATGCTTGTGACAGAGTTGGTGATGATGTGAGAATAAAGGTCATTTACTTTATGCAAAAATTCAATGTCACCAAGCCCCACATTTCTCATTGATATTTAGGGTTTATTGCAATATACTCAGAGTATTTTTTTTAAAACCCTGTATTTTTTAAAATTCCTATAGAAAAATTTATTATTGTGAATCTGAAATTCTCTAACTCCTACCCATCTTCTCTAATTCCCCCTATTACCACAATTTTAATAATAGGTTTGTTAATATAAGATTTAAAAAATAATAAGAAACCAACAGAAATCACAACAATTAGTCTGTAGGCCAAAATCTGGCTCATAAGTGAGTTTTTCATTGACCTATTTAATATTTTTATTTAAAAAATTAGTTGTAACAATTAAACATCACAGATAACACCTCAAAATATATATTTTCAACTTTTCTTGAGTAATCGAAGGACTTAACTATCCTGGGCCTGGATTTTTTGTAGGTAAACAATGGGCTGGAGCTGAGTGACAGGCATCCCATAGAGATGGGACATGCATGGCTTTCTGCATCACCACAGTCCTCACCTGCCCTATTTCAGTCATCCTAATTTTCTGCTCTTTCCATAAAGAGGTGTGAATTTATTTCCCCTGAAGAGCAGAATGCATACAATTTTTTTTTTAATTTATGGAGGGGTTGAAGTGAGACAAAATATTTTAAATAAGGCATGAGAAGTTTCATGTAGAGTGAAAAACATTAAGGGCCTCTTACCCATGGATAAAGCTCTGCTAATGGGGTTCAGGTAAAGTTGGTTATGAATGTCAAATGGCTTAATGAGGCCAAAGGACCTTTGTACCCTTTACTGGTGGAACTCAGCTCGAGAGAATGTAGATGTATTCCTTCCTCCTGCTGTTGTCAGAATATGAACTTCTTTCTCTGTAGGTCAGTCCCCCCGGGGTTCTCTGTTTGCCGGTGCTGAACATACCCAGGACTGAGTTCAGCTACTTCACTGAGACAAGGTTTATTCTGGAAGAGCTAAACATCTCTGAATCATCCCACATATTCCGAGATGAAATTAATCTGCATCAGCTGAATGATGAAGGAAAGTTATCTATAACACTCATTGGCAGCAACGTGCTGGCGAGGTGAGGCTCTGGAGGTCTGGTCTTTTCAGGAAGGCTCTTCTGGGCAAAGTATCACCTTGTTCACGACTTTTGTGGTTCAGGGAAATGTAAAAGGCAGAGGACATTCAGAGGAAAGGAAATTTTTTTTTTCTTCTTTTATGGCAAAATCTGGACTGCGCCAATTTTCTGTTTTTACTTTTGTATTTCAAATATATGACATCTTTGAGTGGAAAGTTCTTGTAAAATTGACCAAAATTATAATTTTAAACCATTTCAAACACTTGTTGTAGCAAGACAACCCCTCGTGGGTATTGATGCTGAAGATGGGTAATAAAAATAGAAATTAAACACTAAATAAAACTGAAAGGTTCTTAAGAAAGAAATCTCAGTAGTGAAATGGAAATTTATGTAGATGGGCTATGAAAGTCATTTGATCATTGGCTCATCACTCATAGCATTATTATACTCTAAGAGCAGGATAGATTTTTTTTTAAAGTTCATGTAATTTGAACTCTCTATTTCATGGACAAAAACTTTTTCGTATTTTTGCAAATGACCTACCCAAGGTACCACATGCAGTTAATAGAGGAGTTTGGATGAAAACTTGGGTCTTCTTCCTCCTTCAATAAGTACTTAAGAATTGCTAACTAGCACAAGAATCTAAAGGTGCATAAAGAGTAGTAAGACAAATTACTCAAGGACCTTACAACCCAACACAAAGATGCCCTTTGATAAGCTCTCTAGTGCTACTGAATGAAGAATCACAGTTAAACATCTGAGTGGTTTTAGATGTTAGGATTTTTTTTGCATACTTTGCCAGTTTGCTAATTATTGATGACATTAACCAGTGGATATTGACTTTAGTATACATAAAATAAAAGCATGTACAATATCTAATTTTAAACCTTTTTTAGAAAGCATATTTAGTTATGAATATATTGTAATGTTAGGTATGCAGTTATAAATAGTTTTTAGAATAATTTCCCATGGTGTTTGAAACACAAAATTCTTTTTTTTTATTAAATATATTTTACTGATTTTTTACAGACAGGAAGGGAGAGAGATAGAGAGTTAGAAACATCGATGAGAGAGAAACATCGATCAGCCACCTCCTGCACATCTCCTACTGGGGATGTGCCCGCAACCCAGGTACATGCCCTTGACCGGAATCAAACCTGGGATCTTTCAGTCCGTAGGCCAATGCTCTATCCACTGAGCCAAACCGGTTTCGGCACAAAATTCTTTTTCGACTAATATTTATCAGTCATTGATAACTGGCTGAGAGTTATTGGTAGGTTATTTGACTGACTTCATTTATCGGTATTCAGAAGGAACACATGCTTTACTAAATTTATGTTAACCTTTCAGACAAAAAATGCAAGTAGATATTAAAAAAATAGTTGAAAAAAACCAAAGGACTGAGCTATGAAAAATATGTATCAGTTGAAATCTTCGGAAGAGTTTTGTTACCAATTAAAATTGAAAAATTTTGCTTGTTTTGAGACTGAAGTTGTGAACTCTGGCTTTGAGATAGTTTATGAAATAGATTGCTTTCCAAAAATAGAGCTCTTCATTTCCTTCACTGCTACTCATTTGGCTTTGGCACAAGAGAGAATAAAGTTAGTTTTATCCAGATTTTTCTTCAGAAGTAAATAAGCCCATAGTATTTTTTCTCCAGCACTGTGACTGGGTGTGCAAACTTTGGAACCAGATTATCAGAGTCTAAATACAAGCCAGTCTACTTACAGGCTTTCTAACCTTGGACAAATTTCTTAACCTCTTCATGCCTCTGTCTCCCCATTTGTAAAGTGCAAATTTTAATAAAATTCACTTAATAGGGTCATTTTATAGTATAAAATGTGATAATACTTCAAAAGTATTTATAACAGTATCTGACCCATAGTGGGAGCTCAACATATGTTAGCAATTATTATTATTATTATTATTATTATTATTATCCAGTAGCAAAGTGAGAAAGGAGTGCAAAGGTGTGAAGGCACTCTAAGAATCTTGGGGAATATAATTAGTTACCATGAAATGTGAAAACACATAGAATAAGGTTCTTCTGAGTCATATGCACTTACTTATATTTTTGGCTACTGAGAGGAAGTCATTTGTGTGGGAGAAGAGATTAAATAATTCCCCAACGTAAGAAAACATGCCATATTTCTTTCTCTTCCTCTCCTCCATTTGCTTTCCAGTGAGGACAAAGCTTTAGAATCGGCTGTTGTCAAAGTCATTAGTCCAGTTGAGCAGAGCGATGCTGGGCTTGGGTTCGGCGAGTCTTCCTCCTCCCTCGTGGTGAAAGAGATTCTCCAGGAGGCTCCCGAGCTCATCACCGAGCAGCTGGCTCATCTCCTCAGAGGTGAGATGACTCTTTCTATTAAATACTGGAAGGCTTAATGGAGTGTCTCTCGACTTGCTCATGCAGAAAGAGTGCGATCCATTCTTGGGTTAACAATCCCTTTAAAGACCCCGGGAAGCTTCATCAGAGAGGCAGGGAGTAAAGAGTTTGTTAAAGAGTAGCATTATATAGAATATTAAAAATGTGCATTTAAAAACAGGCATGACGGATCTTTGCTGTTTCAAGGCAAGAATATTAAATGGAACTCCTGCACTTCTGCTGGGGAGCTGGAAGTGCTCCTCGGACCCTTTAACAGCTCCCAGAGATGTTTCTTGCCCCACAGTGTTTATATGGGCCAGACTTCCACGTTCTCACATTGACTATCTCCTAATGCTGATACATGCTTGGTTTATATAATGCTGTTTGGATGGCAAACTGCACCTTCCATTTTGGCAATATTGTGCAAGATGGACTTTTATAGTCAAATTGTCACCTCTTTCTCCCCGCCTTGTAATGTATTCCACTGTTACTCAGCCTGCGTCACGCACTCTGGTCTGCAGTCATTAAGAGCTCCCTAATCTCTATTTCATCTCCATGGAGCCCACTGCTTCCAAAAAGTGATTTCCAACCTGGAAATTGTCAGTTGACTTTGGTGCCACAACAATTCCATGTTGCCTCACTTAGGACAGTTTGAGGTTTTGTATTATGAGTTTTGGTGTTTGTTTTTTTCTTTCTTGAACATGGCAGACATAGATTTTTCTCAGAAGTATTTAACCCAAGAAAGTAAAAATGAGTGATGAATAGGCTAAAAGAATTTAAAAAGGAAGAAGACAGAGAATGTTGACTCAACTCTTATTCTTTTTACAAGTCTAAATTTTTATTATTAAATTCAACAGACAAAGAATAACATTTTAATAATATAATCAGAACAAACAACACATAGGAAAAAGAAAATAAAAACTGCACATTGTTCATTGCAAGTATAAACAAGACAACAAAGAGTGAAATAGCTAGTTCTGCATATTAAATGCCTAAACACAGTTTTGAACAAACACCATATGTACCAATATTTAAGCTTTTAATATGTACAATATTGGTACAAATATATACCAATATTTAAGTTATGTAAACATATTAAGTTTCTAATGTGATCATTGAACTTGTTTCTTGCTTGTTAAAGTGTCTAATATAGATTGGATTAATGACAATGTCACTAATAAGGGATAATGTTTTGTTTTAATAAGATGCATAGTGGAGAAACCAGCTCACAGAGGCATATTAGTGGGAGTGGGACAAGATACTTTAAAGCAATATCAGCACATTCAGGATATTAATTTAATTTTTATGCGGGATTAAGCAAGTGAAGTTATAGTCTAAAGAGTCATCTTAGATCCTTCATAAGTTGACTCAGGTCTTTCAAAGCCTTTTCTTCACTTTCTCTGTCTCTACCACAATTTGGAAGGAAAAGGGTTTAAGAGTCATAAAGTTCCTGTAAATGTTTTAGAATTAATGGCCCCAGTAAGCCCATTTAAAATCTTTTTCTGGCTAATGGCATCTGTAAAATTCTCTATGGGAAACTGTGTCCTCAACTAAGCTAAGCAAGCACAATCATTTATCTCCGTGACAGAGCAGAAGGAAAATAAAGGTAATTGGGGATCTCAGCCAAGAGGGAAGTTGATTGATATTTTGTTTGCAAACTAAGAAGATTTGGCTTATTGTTGAAAAAATACATGTATTATTTAGTAGGAAAGAATTGTAGTCAATGAGCAGTTCATCTTCATGGTTTTCTATAGATAGTAAAATTGACAGTCAAAATGTAATACATTGGTAAGAAGATGATTTTGTTGTTGATGCTGATGATGCAGATGATAATATTCAGATTTAGGGAATTAGAAGGAATTAGGACCCTTTTGTTAGTGGCCATGGCTTTAGTTAGCCAAGCTACCAAGAATTAAAGCTGTGGCAAAGGACTTGGCTTTTCTTATCTTCAGAGGTTTTTCATAGGGTTGGGCTTGAAGTGGGGCTAGGAAGCAGCCAGACTAGTGAAATCACTTCACTGTTACTCGGAAATTGGAATGTGAGAAGTGAAGTGCCTCTACCTGTGAAGACTGCCAATACTGATACTGTCATGAGAGTCAGAGCCACTGGAGCCTGGGAGGAGAAGACAGAGGTGGCGTATGTGAATGGAAAGTGGGCTCTGGAGACCTTTTGCCAAGATGGGCAGGAGTGCATGTGTGTGCTGTGTATGTGGAGGGGAGAGGAAACATCACTGAATGGTCTTGCCCAGAGGGAACTAACGGATGGTGATCCAAGGAGTTTGACTCAACTGTTCATAGGGGCAATGGGAAATTTTTAAAAGGTACTGAATTTTAAATATAAGAAACTAGAGGGCTGGTGCACAAAATTGTGCACTGGTGGGGTCCAGCCAGCCGGTCCCCAATGGCCCCCATTGTGGGTGGGGCCAGTTGGGATGAGGGGCCTCAGGTGTTCTGGTAGTTCCACTGTTCAGTCAATTTGCATATTACCCTTTTATTATATAGGATGAATCAAGTCAAATTTTGCATTATTCACTAAACTCAAACCTAGATTTTATACTTTTCCAGTCATGTGCTAACACCAAACCTGAAGGGAGGTATTTTTTATGTGCCTATAAATAATTCTAGCAATCTTTATTTTCATAACATAAAAAGTTCTCTTTCTGAAGGGTTTCTCTATAAATAGCTACAATATTATTTTGTATTTTGGGGCGATCAAAATGATCATTAATTTGACACACATATCTAGAACATGTCTTTATGCATTCTTCCAGGTCTTGAAGGAATGCACAATTTCTATGCACACCCTTGCCATAAAGAACTTTGAAAAATGTCTATTTCCAGATGTTGTGAGACTAGATAGTCACGGCAGACTTGGAAGAGTCTTTAAAAAGCTTCATAAGTAGAACTCTGTAGAGAATATATTATTGTAAACTTTGTACCCCCCAAATCTGAATTTACTAAGAACTAAATAATTAGTTTGGTTGTTGGTTGCCTTTCATTCCCAGGGTCAGATCTGAGAACACACCATGCTGTGGCACACGGGTGTGCTCTGAAGGCATTTCAATGGGCCAAGATATTGATCCCCTCAATCCTTGGAGAGCTCCCTAAGTCTGCCCCTTAGCCTCTTATGCTGAAAGGAATATGCATTTTCAATGCATTTCTTAATTTCTAAAAGGTTGGGCCTGCTCTTCCTTAGTTGTGCTTGTTAGCTCTTCTCTGCTCAACTTCTAAGTATTGCAGTACCCTGGAACATTGTCTTGGGCATTTTTGCTCTATACACTGACCTCATTTAGTTCTGAGACTTTAGATATAGTACTTAGGCTGTGACTCCCTGTATCTTCAACTGTAATCTCTGTTAGATTTCCAGGTTAATACCTATGTCCACGTGACATCTTCGCCTGCATGTCTAATTAGCGCCGCCATCTTTCTCATGGCTGTAATGGAAACCTTTAGTTCCCTGTACCTGCAAACCTGCTTTTATCCCAGTTTCCCCAATTCAGTAAAAGGCACTGGCAAAAAGACAATGACTCAGGCCACAATCAGTCCTGCTGACATACATTTAAAACATAGCCACGATCACCATTAGTGATTGAATCCAAGCCACCATTCTGTCTCGACTTGGCTAATGCGATAGCCTCCTGACGGTTGCCCCATTTCCTCCATGAAACCTATTGCCTATGACGTAGTCAGAAGGACCTTTGAATAATATAAACCAGGTCCTGTCAACCTCCTGCTTAATACCCATCACACTCAGAACACAAGCGCCCCACCCTTGCAAACTGCAACATGATCGTCCCCTCCTACTCTGACATCCTCTCATGCTATTTTTCCCTTTCCCACTGGGTGCTGCAGGCGGGGGCCTTTCAGTCTTCCAAATATGCCCAACTCTTTCCACTTTTGAGGATTTACGTAAGCTGTTCCCGCCTCTGGAATGCATGTTTCTATCTACTTATCTTTCTTGCTGTCACCAGTCTCCTCCTTCTTGACCCCTCACTCCAGAATGTAAGCTTCAGGAGAAGAGCGATCTGACATGTTTTGTTCACTGCTCCACTGTTGTGTTTCTGGTGCCTGGAACAGTGCCTGCCACATAGCAGACCCTCAATAAATACTGCCATAAAATGAATTTTGCAAGATTGTTTGTATACTTTCTGTGTTTTTTTATGGCTAAATTGATTTAGTTAGTGCCATGATATTTTAATATCCATTGCATTCCAGCTAATCCCTCCAACGTTCTTAATGTCCAGACTTTGGACATTATTCATTCTAACAGTTAATCCTTTTTTAGCTTTTAGAAATCCTAGACTTTGTTTCGTAATTTTGCAAACGTTTGTTTTTATTTTCAGCAGTTGGTTGTTATATATATGACACATATATATTGTACATCATTTTAACCTTTTCATGGAGTATATACACATACAGAAAAGAATGTACAATATGAATATAAAAACATAAATATGTGAGTTATTACAAAAGGAACCCCCCTTTCCCAATAACTCGGGTAAAGAAATAGAACAAGGTGACCTCTTTGTACACCTTTCCATCACTGTTCACTTCCTCTCTAACTAAAGGTAACCAGCATTCTGATTTTCATGGCACATACTTCCTTGTATATCTTTATAGTTTTATCACCTTTGTATGTACCCCATAACCCTACAGATTGGTTTTGTCTGTTTTATATATTATGTAACAAGAATCATATGGTGTACACTCTCATTGTTATTAGACCTCTACATTTATATTACCTGTAGTATCTATTTGCTCAGGTCATTTATCTATCATCTGTCTATTCATTTATTTCATTATTTATTTCCTCCCTTCTTCCATAGAATATTTGAAGTAATTTATGCAAATATAAAAAAAACAAAAAAAAGTCACGGTCAGGAAACAAAACTATGTAGAGAAAGGAATAAGGTCAAGATATAGTTAAAAAAATGAAGGAGTGAAAATAATATTCAGTTTGAAACTCTGGCTATGAGCTTCCTG